GTCTGAGTTCAAGCCCTGGATATCCTTGTTGATTTTCTGTCTGGTTGATCTGTCTAGTATTGACAGTGGAGTGTTAAAGTCTCCCACTATTATTGTGTGGGAGTCTAAGTCCTTTTGTAAGTCATTAAGAACTTGCCTTATGTATCTGGGTGCTCCTGCATTGGGTCCATATATGTTTAGGATCGTTAGCTCTTCTTGTGGTATCGATCCTTTTACCATTATGTAATGGCCTTCTTTGTCTCTTTTGATCTTTGTTGCTTTAAAGTCTATTTTATCAGAGATGAGAATTGCAACTCCTGCTTTTTTTTTTTTTTGCTCTCCATTTGCTTGGTAAATCTTCCTCCATCCCTTTATTTTGAGCCTTTGTGTATCCTTGCATGTGAGATGGGTTTCCTGGATACAGCACACTGATGGGTTTTGGCTTTTTATCCAATTTGCCAGTCTGTGTCTTTTGATTGCTGCATTTAGTCCATTTACATTTAGGGATAATATTCTTATGTGTGAATTTGATACTGCCATTTTGATGCTAAGTGGCTGTTTTGCCTGTTAGTTGTTGTAGATTCTTCATTATGTTGATGCTCTTTAGCATTCAGTTTGATTTTGGAATGGCTGGTACTGGTTGATCCTTTCTATGTGTAGTGCCTCTTTTAGGAGCTCTTGTAAAGCAGGCCTGGTGGTGACAAAATCTCTGAGTACTTGCTTGTTCACAAAGGATTTTATTTTTCCTTCACTTCTGAAGCTCAGTTTGGCTGGATATGAAATTCTGGGTTGAAAGTTCTTTTCTTTAAGAATGTTGAATATTGGCCCCCACTCTCTTCTGGCTTGTAGTGTTTCTGCCGAGAGATCTGCTGTGAGTCTGATGGGCTTCCCTTTGTGGGTGACCCGACCTTTCTCTCTGGCTGCCCTTAGTATTCTCTCCTTTATTTCAACCCTGTTGAATCTGACGATTATGTGCCTTGTGGTTGCTCTTCTTGCGGAATATCTTTGTGGTGTTCTCTGAATTTCCTGAAATTGAGTGTTGGCCTGTCTTGCTAGGTGGGGGAATTTTCCTGGATGATGTCCTGAAGAGTATTTTCCAGCTTGGATTCATTCTCTTCGTCCCCTTCTGGTACACATATCAAACGTAGGTTAGGTCTTTTCACATAGTCCCACATTTCTTGGAGACTTTGTTCATTCCTTTTTGCGCTTTTTTCTCTAATCTTGGTTTCTCGTTTTATTTCATTGAGTTGGTCTTCGACTTCAGATATTCTTTCTTCTGCTTGGTCAATTCGGCTATTGAAACTTGTGCATGCTTCGCGAAGTTCTCGTATTGTGTTTTTCAGCTCCTTTAATTCATTCATATTCCTCTCTAAGTTATCCATTCTTGTTATCATTTCCTCGAATCTTTTTTCAAATCTTTTTTCAAGGTTCTTAGTTTCTTTGCATTGATTTAATACATGATCTTTTAGCTCACAAAAGTTTCTCATTATCCATCTTCTGAAGTCTAATTCCGTCATTTCGTCGCAGTCATTCTCCGTCCAGCTTTGTTCCCTTGCTGGTGAGGAGTTTTGGTCCTTTCTAGGAGGCGAGGTGTTCTGGTTTCGGGTGTTTTCCTCCTTTTTGCGCTGGTTTCTTCCCATCTTTGTGGATTTGTCCGCTGGTCATCTGCATAGTTGCTGACTTTTCTATTGGGTCTCTGAGTGGACACCCTGAATGTTGATTCGCAATTGCTACAAAAAGAATAAAATACCTTGGAATACAACTCACAAGGAACGTAAGAGACCTCTTCAAGGAGAACTAAAACCACTGCTCAACGAAATCAGAGAGGACACAAACAGATGGAGAAACATTCCAGGTTAGGAAGAATTAATATCATGAAAATGGCTATACTGCCCAAAGTAATTTACAGAATCAACGCTATCCCCATCAAGCTACCATTGACTTTCTTCACAGAACTGGAAAAAACCACCATGAACTTCATATGGAACCAAAAGAGAGCCCGCATAGCCAAGTCAATTCTAAGCAAAAAGAACACAGCGGGGGGCATCACACTACCGGATTTCAAACTATACTACAAGGCTACAGTAATCAAAACAGCATGGTACTGGTACCAAAACAGAGATATAGACCAATGGAACAAAACAGAGGCATCTGAGGCAACACAACATACATACAACTATACAATCTTTGATAAACCTGACAAAAACAAGCAATGGGGCAAGGATTCCATGTTTAACAAATGGTGTTGGGAAAACTGGCTAGCCATGTGCAGAAAGCAGAAACTGGACCCCTTCCTGACACCTTACACTAAAATTAACTCCAGATGGATTAAAGACTTAAACATAAGACCTGGCACCATAAAAACCCTAGAAGGAAATCTAGGCAAAACTATCCAGGACATAGGAGTAGGCAAGGACTTCATGAACAAAACACCAAAAGCATTGGCAACAAAAGCCAAAATAGACAAATGGGACCTAATGAAACTCCACAGCTTCTGCATGGCAAAAGAAACAGTCACTAGAGTGGATCGGCAACCAACAGAATGGGAAAAAATTTTCGCAGTCTACCCATCTGACAAAGGGCTGATATCCAGAATTTACAAAGAACTCAAACAGATTTACAGGAAAAAAACAAACAAACCCATTCAAAAGTGGGCAAAGGATATGAACAGATACTTTACGAAAGAAGACATATATGAGGCCAACAATCACATGAAAAAATGCTCATCGTCACTGGTCATCAGAGAGATGCAAATCAAAACCACATTGAGATACCATCTCACGCCAGTTAGAATGGCGATCATTAAAAAATCTGGAGACAACAGATGCTGGAGAGGATGTGGAGAAAAAGGAACACTTTTACACTGTTGGTGGGAGTGTAAATTAGTTCAACCATTGTGGAAGACAGTGTGGCGATTCCTCAAGGCCTTAGAAATAGAAATTCCATTTGACCCAGCAATCCCATTACTGGGTATATATCCAAAAGACTATAAATCGTTCTACTATAAGGACACATGTACACGAATGTTCATTGCAGCACTGTTTACAATAGCAAAGACCTGGAATCAACCCAAATGCCCATTGATAATAGACTGGATTGGAAAAATGTGGCAATATACACCATGGAATATTATGCAGCAATCAGAAATGATGAGTTTGTGTCGTTTGTAGGGACATGGATGAATCTGGAGAACATCATCATCAGCAAACTGACACAAGAACAGAAAATGAAACACCACATATTCTCACTCATAGGGGGGTGATAAAAATGAGAACACATGGACACAGAAAGGGGAGTACTAAACACTGGGGTCTATTGGGGGGAAAAGGGGAGGACCAGTGGGAGGGGGAGGTGGGGAGGGATAGCCTGGGGAGAAATGCCAAATGTGGGTGAAGGGGAGAAGAAAAGCAAAGCACACTGCCATGTGTGTACCTACGCAACTGTCTTGCATGCTCTGCTCATGTACCCCAAAACCTATAATCCAATAAAAATAAATAAATAAAAAGTGGACAAAGGCCATGAAGAGATATTTTTCAAAAGACATAGAAATGGTCCACAAGCACATAAAAAATATTCAGCATTGCTAATCATCATAGAAATACTAATTAAAAGCACAGTGAGATATCATTTTACACCTGGAAGAATTGCTATTGTTAAAAATTAAAAAAAAAAAGAGACAGATTTGGGTGAGGCTACTGAAAGAAAAGAACTTACACACTGCTGTTGGGAATGTAAACTAGTACAAGCTTTATGGAAAACAATGTGGAGATTTCTCAAATAACTAAAAATGGAACTACCATTCAATCCAGCAATCCCACTACTAGCTATCTACCCAAAGGAAAAAAAAAATGTTTGCATGAAAAATATACCTGCATTTGTATTTTTATCGCAGCACTATTCACAATGCCCAAGATATGGGCTCAAAGTAAGTTTCCATCAATAGAGAAGGGAATAAAGAAAATGTGATATATATAGATATATGCACATACACATATATATACACACATGTATATACACACACACATACATACACACATATATACACACACACCATGGAATACCACTCTACCATAAAAAAGAATAAAATCATGTCTTTCGCAATAACATGGATGAAACTTGAGGCTGTTGTCTTTAGCAAAATAACTCAGAAAGTCAAATACCACACGTTCTTACTTATAAGAGGAAGTGAAATAATGTGTACACATGAACATGAAGTGTGAAATAATAGACATTGCAGACTCAGAAGGGTAGAAAAGTGGGAGCAGGTGACAAATGAAAATTTTCTTGATGAATACAATTGCATTATTCAGGTGATAGTTACTCCAAAGGCCCAAACTTCAACACTACACAATATATCCATATAACACAATTCTACTTGTACTCATTAAATTTATATAAATAAAAATAAAATGAAGATGATGGTAATGCTTACTAGATATGGTTGGTGGGAGCACATAAGTTAATAAAGTGCTTAAAATAGAGCCTGGTACATACTAAACTGTCAACAAACACACTAGCTATAAGGAGCAATTATAAAGTCTTGCTTTTTTGTAAGAGAGCCTCCACTCGTTTCTAAGAGTGTTCATTATCTCCAAAATAAGTAATATATCCCTTAGGGGCATTGGAAGCCACGACAAGTTAATTCCAAATATCTTGCCACATAATTATAAGGTTGGAGTCGTATTAAATAATTAACAAGCTAAAAATAAGCCAGAAGAGAATTAAAATGTTCACTGTTTAAGCTGACAAAGCAAATTGGAGACCATTTTCATCTTTAGTGTACTGAATTTACCCACTGAGATATAAAGTTGAACAACCCTAGTACTTATCAAAAACTTTCCAGATGTATTTTTATGCAGAGACAGTCTATAATAAGGACACCAGAGGCAGACGTGTAACTTTTTTCTGGCAGTCTTTTACCCCAACTCTTCCTATATTTTACAGATTCCCACAATGTGAAACTTGGTGGAAGACTGTGTAACAGTGTTCAAGAACTGTTTTATAGTTTTCTACTATGTGAAACCTAGTGGAAAACTGTATGACAATGTTCAGCTGGGCACAGTGGCTCACACCTGTAATCTCAGCACTTTGGGAGGCTGAGGTGGGCAGATCACTTGAGGTCAGGGGTTCAAGACCAGCCTGGCCAACATGGTGAAACGCTGTCACTACTAAAAATACAAAAATTAGCTGGGTGTGCTGGTATCTGCCTGTAGTCTCAGCTACTCAGGAGACTGAGGCAGGAGAATCACTTAAACCCAGGAGGCATAGGCTGCAGTGAGCTGAGATGGTGACTGCACTCCAACCTGAGCAACAGAGCAAGACTTTGTCTCAAGAACACAAAAACAAAGAAACAAACAAGAAAATGGTGTTCAGGATCCAAATCCCGATTCTGCCTAAACTGTCCTGGAACATGGGCAAATGTCTTAGTGTCATTAAGCCATACTTTCCTCATTAGTAAAACAGTAATAATAACAATACTACCTGTCATGGAGTTGTCAAGATCAAATGAGATAAGATATGTAAAACACAAAGAACAGTGCAACTGTAGTAGGATGCTATATAAATGAGAACAGTTCTTTTTGTAATTCTGCTTACCATGCTCACATCTTCACTGCCAGTAAACAAACTTGCCTCAGTCAACAGTAGACAGTGAGTAACACCCAGAAGTCAGGACAGTTAGAATTTATTTGTACTGGATACTGTGGCCTGTGGCATTAGCAAATGACTAAAAGCACCACTGATAGCAGTGACCAAAGGTACTAGTGCAAAAGGATAGAAGGGGTAAATGTACTGGAAGAATTGTCTTAACCAAACTGTTCCAGTGGTTTGATCTTGCCTCTGCAAGGCTCTATTTTAAGCACTTTATTAACTTATGTGCTCCCACCAACCATATCAAGTAAGCATTACCATCATCTTCATTTTCTGCACTCTCACTTCCTGTAACTAATTACTCACTTCATTTCTGCACTCTCACTTCCTGTAACTAATTACTTCCAGTCTAATTATCGAATTTTCTTCTTGGTTCTGGGAGCACACCATTATTCTTCCAATAAATTCTTTTTTGTTTAAGTTAGACAGAGTTTATTTCTGTTGTATACATCCAAGATTGTCACCTCTCTCTCCACATACCCCCCACATTCATGATAGGCAGGGATAGTGATGGTGGAGAGAAACTTATCAGGTTCCACTGCCACTTCTGCTTTATGTTATAAGATGCCATGTCATATCCCTTAACCTCCCTAACAGGCCATGACTAGACTCCTTGACACCACATACCAAACATCAAAGAGATAGCATTGTAATGCTGTGTCTTAAATGTGGGGGGAAATGACATCCTTCTGTGTCTCTGCTTATTCACGTTATCTTGACTTGCTTATGCACTGGCCATGATGTTGTATCAACTATGTTCACTACAGGAATTCCAACTCAATTAGCTGGGCAAGAAAATAAAAAGAAAAGCCACGAAAGAGGAGCACATTTGGCTCGGTTCTCAGGCTTCCTTATTAAATACCAATTCATAATAGTAGTTTATTATAGTAGAAAACGACAAAATTTTAAAAAAGCTCCAGTATATCAGTGGCTTATTTCAAGTAAACTAATTTTATGCCTTCATATTTAAAGTAAATTTCTTGTAGATGGCATGCAGTGGGTCTTTTTTTAAAAAAACATATCTAACACTCTTTTTCAATTTGCTAAGTTTACACCATATTTAATGTACTCATTGACACAATGAATTAAAATCTACCATCAGGCCAGGTGCAGTGGCTCACACCTGTAATTCCAGCACTTTGGGAGGCCAAGGCAGGAAAATCACTTGAGGCTAGGAGTTCAAGACCAGCCTAAGCACCATGGCGAAACCCCGTCTCTACTAACAATGCAAAAATTAACCAGGCATGGTGGCACACACCTGTAATCCCAGCTACTCAGGAGGCTGAGGCAGGAGAATCACTTGAACCCGGGAGGCAAAGGTTGCCATGAACTGAGCTCACACCACTGCACTCCAGCCTGGGTGACACAGTGAGGCTCTGTCTCAAAAAAAAAACAAATACAAAACTAGCAAACCAAAAAAGCCCTACAATCTTCCTAGTGTTTTTCTATTTGTTCCATGTTTTCTTTGTTTCTTTTGTCTTCTTTTCCTGTTTAAATTATTAAATATGTTAATGATTCCATTTTATCTCCACTATTGACTTATTAAATGCCTCTCTTAAAAATTGTTTTAGTTATTGCCCTAGAGTTTACAATATATGTCTGGAATTCATGAAAGTACGCTTCTTCATAATATTGTGCCATTTTGCAAGTAGTTTAAGGATGTTGCAAACATACACTGACAATTATGCACTCTCATATTTTATATTATTATTATACATTTTCCTTTTACATATTCTATAAATAAATATACAGTATATTCTTACTATTATGATTTAGACAAATACCTTTTAAAGGAATTAAAAATACAAAAAGAGTAGGTCTGCAGTCAGTCTGTCTCATTTTCACTGCTCTTCATTTCTTTGCACAAATGTAAGTTATTGATTGGCATCATATTTCTTATGCCTGAAGAGGTTCTTCAGTATTTCTTGCAGTGAAGGGCTGCTGACAATGAGCTTTCAGCATGTGTGTCTGAAAAATGTCTTTATTTCTCTCTGATTTTTGAATATATTCACTTTGTTTAACAGGGTCTTTTCTTTATTATTTCAGCATTTGACAAATGTTTTCTGTCCTATCCTGTTTCTGATGAGAAAATTGCAGTGAACCTTGTTTTTGTTCCTCTGTATATAATGTGTCTTTTTTCCTTTGAATGTATTTATAGTTTTCTTCTTAAATTTGTTTTCAGCAATTTGAATATGAAATGTATAGGTGTTAGCCATTGTGTTAAATCCAAAGTACACAGAGCAAAACAAAAAAGTACCTACATGAATAGACTTTGGTCTAATGAGGAGACATTAAAAACAAACTCCTGGTTTAGGCTTGGGAGGACGCATTGCAGCACTGTTTACAATAGCAAAGACCTGGAATCAACCCAAATGCCCATTGATGATAGACTGGATTGGGAAAATGTGGCACATATACACCATGGAATATTATGCAGCAATCAGAAATGATGAGTTCGTGTCGTTTATAGGGACATGGATGAATCTGGAGAACATCATTCTCAGCAAACTGACACAAGAACAGAAAATGAAATACCGCATATTCTCACTCATAGGTGGGTGATGAAAAATGAGAACACATGGACACAGAGAGGGGAGTACTAAACACTGGGGTCTATAGGGGGAAAAGGGGAGGGCCAGTGGGAGGGGGAGGTGGGGAGGGATTGCCAGGGGAGAAATACCAAATGTGGGTGAAGGGGAGAAAGCAAACAAAACACACTGCCCTGTGTGTACCTATGCAACTGTATTGCATGCTCTGCACATGTACCCCAAAACCTAAAATGCAATAAAAAAAAAGAAGAAAAAAAAAGAAAAAAAAAATGAAGAAAAAGAAAAAAAAATAATAAATAAAAATGCAAATTCTTTGGGGATTAAAAAAAACACAGATAAATATATAATTGTAAATTATAATATATTATGAAAAATTAAATAATTTTCTTAGAGAGGATATAATAAAGGAAGCTTAAATCTGAAAGGATAGAATAAGGCCAGATGTTGTGGCTCATGCAAGTAATCTCAGCACTTTGGGAGGCCAAGGCAGGTGGATCACTTGAGGCCAGGCGTTCAAGACCAATCTGGTCAACATGGTGAAACCTCATCTCCACTAAAAATATGCAAAAAAATTAGCCAGGCTTGGTGGTGTGAGCCTGTAATTCCAGCTACTCAGGAGGCTGAGGCACGGGAATTGCTTGAACCCAGGAGGTGGAGGTTGCAGTGAGCCAAGAGGGTCCCACTGCACTCCACCCTGAGTAACAGAGTGAGACTCTATCAAAAAAAATTTTTTTTAATTTCAAAAAGTGTTGAATAAACATTTCCAGAATGGCAAAGAAAGGACCTCCAAAAATCTGCTTTTCCATAAAAGCAATGATAACACCAGCAAAAGTGTCTATCATAAAAATGTTTGAAACTCTAGAAACTAACCAAGGGCATGCAACAATTCAGTAAGTATTCATTCAAGAACAATGACTGAATCTCAGTATCGATGGTGAGTTTTGTGGAATGTTAACTTGCTTTATCCCCCAGCTCTGTGGTAACCTTAAAAACTAGCACACATGGAACTATGGTAGCTGAGAAAACTATCGGCCTAATAACCATTAAAGTGAACAAAAAATGTTGGAGATTGCTAAAGGCCCTGCTTCCCAGAGAATTGTCACTGTTTCACCTATTTGGCAGCTTTCTAGGAAAACCCCATTTACAATTTTGTCTTTATTTCACCAGACTCAGTTCACTCAGTGAGAAATTTTTATTCCTAGAGTGTTTGTCAAAGCATTAAGCAGCAATTGCCTGAAAATGTAAATATCAGTTGGGGCAAACAATAATCTAACCAAACTCGTAAAAAATTTATGAGGGCATCAGAAATCCATAGAGGGCTTTGAAAAGCTCCCATATATTCCTGGGGATTACAAAAAATATGTACATGGGCAAGGCCCTATGTATGCACAGGAAAGACCTGATGTTTCATTTGTGGCTAACCTTGAGGCTCTGCACAAAGAGGCTGTGAAGATTAAAGGTAGAATTGAAACTGCTGGAGTGCTGCAAACATGCTCCAACACACATACGCGAACCCCAGGCATAAGGCTTCAGAGAATTAGCAATTTAAAGCACTTAAAAATATCTGTCCAATTGTTAGTTGACCACTAACCTAACTGAGTAGAAATTTCAGTGACTACATGCAACAAGAAATACAGAAGTAACATAAGTAACTCAGGAAAATCGCTAAACAAACAAAAGTACCACCAATAAAAGCAAAGCCTAGATGGGCGGGAAGACATGATTTTGAGAATATGCTAACTGAAATAATAATAATAAATATTTAAAATGTCTAGATTTTAACAACAAAAAATGTGTCACTTAAAGAATGAGGAAAGTATGGCCAATCACATGTTTAAGAAAACAGTCAATAGAAACTCTCCAGGAGGAAGCCCAAATACTGGACTTAGTAGACAATGATAAATATGAGGTGGAAGAAATTGTCTTATTGTAAATTCTATATAATTAAAATATGAATCCTATAGAGGCCTTTGCCTTCCTTACAGTCTTTTTAAAGGCACTCTTAACCTCTTTGTTCCTCAGACTGTAGACCAGTGGATTCAACATGGGAATGACTATGGCATAAAACACAGATGCCATTTTGTCAGTGCCCATGGGATGGCTGGAGCTAGGTTGTAAGTACATAAAGATGCCTGTCCCATAAAAGATGGAAACTGCAGTAAGGTGGGAAGCACAGGTGGAAAAGGCCTTCTTGCGTCCTTCAGATGAGTGCATCTTCAGGATGGTGATAAATATAAATAAATAGGAGATCAAAATTACCAGGATAGAAAAGAGGTCATTGAATCCCACCACAATAAAAATAACCATCTCTCTAATGTAATTGCCTGAACATGAGAGAGCCAGGAGAGGAGGAGCATCACAGAAAAAGTGTTCAACTACATTGGATCTACAGAAGGAGAGCCTGAAAGTGTTCCCAGTATGAATGGATGCATTCAGGAAACCACAGATGTAGGAGCCTATGGTCAGGCAAGCACATATATTTGTAGTCATGGTGGTGGTGTAACGCAGGGGTTTACACACTGCTGTATAGCGGTCATAGGCCATTGATGCCAGAAGAAAATTTTCTACAGTGATAAAGGCTACAAAGAAGAAGAATTGTGTGACACAAGCATCATATAATATGTGTTTGTCTCCTGTGAGGCATCCTACCATCACCTTGGGAGTGACAGCTGAGGAATAACCAAAGTCTACCAAAGAGAGGTTACTGAGGAAGAAATACATGGGGGTGTGGAGTTGGGAGTCCAGTAGAATCAATTCAATCATCCCCAGGTTCCCAACCAGAGTGATGAAGTAGATGAAAAAAAAGACTATGAAGAGTGGGATCTGCAGTTTTGGGTCATCAGTTAACCCCACAAGAATGAATTCAGTTACCTCTGTGTTGTTCTCCATTGGGAATTGTGTAGCTGCCCTGTAGAAATGAGAAGACAGAACCAGAATGATAAATGGAGGGAGTACTAGTGAGATCAGTCAGTATGCTCATTTTGTGCCTTATTTCAGTATTGCAATTATTTGTTTCCAGGAGTCCTGGATCTAAAACATCCCCATAACAACAAAATACAACTTTAAATTAAACTAATTCATAGAACATTCTTAATAAAATGGTTTTGGAGATACTCCATCTTAATCTCCTAACTTCATAGGTTAGTGAACTAAGGTACAGAAGGAAAGATTCATACAAGATCATCAGACTAATTCATTGGAACGGGTGAAATGTAAAGCCAAGTCACTTTGAATTAAAGCCTTAGTTCTTCATCACAAAGAAAATTTCCTTTAAACCTTTTACATTCAACTAAACTTGGCACAAGATAGTAATTCATTTAATTGACTAACTGCCTGACGAAATAATTAAATCTATCATTGGAAGTCAATGTGAAGTATGGAAAAGCATTAAATTAGGAATCAAATATACTTACCAGTTTTCTTGGCTTCATGCAAATAGCATACCTTTCTGGATCTCAGTTAAATGATAATAACTGCATTCACAAATGTTTTTCCAACCCTTAAATATCTTCAAAAAGTTAAAAAGGAACATGACTCTTTAGTAATACCAACCAATCGACCAATAAACATAAATTTCTGAATGTGTTAATTTCTTCATTTTCTCTACAAGCACTAATTTTGAATGAAGCACCACATTGTGTGCTAATTGCCAGGCTTACATTAATGCACAAGATACATTCCCTAACTTCGGGATATTTAGAGGACTGAGACAGACATCTAAACTGATAAATACCATGTTTAAGTTCAGAATATTCTTAGTCTCCATTCCCAAGGATAGAGAATTGCTTTCTCATTTGCTCAGAACTGTGTGATGGATGTTAATTACATCTACACTGCAGATCATCAGTCAGTCTATAATATAGTTTATAAATTATGTGTCCAATGACCAGATATTTTCAGTGGCAGAATTAGAACTCGAAATCAGGTCTCCTCATTCCAATAGTTGGTTGTGCCTTATGTAATTTCGCACATCTCTATTTCAGTGCATTTTATAACTGGATTTTAAGCCTGATTTCTTCCTCATTTATTAATCACCATTCCTTTGGTCTCTCTCTTCTTTTAAAATATTAATATGGTCTTCCAGATTAAAGTAAAATTTTATGTTGATATCCCACTTGATTATCTCAACAACTCTAGGATTAGTCAGGAGAACTAATATTATCATATTTCCTGAAACAGAAAACTGAGAAATAAATAGTTTAAATAACTTGTTCAAAGTAATGTAAGCTTATTCTTTGTAAAGCAGGGACTCAAGGGCTTCTTGTACTTTGTTTTATGTCACATGGTAAGTATACATATTCTAACAGAAATTCATTATTGCTTAGAAATACAAGTTTAGCATCCCTAATCCAAAAATCCAAGGTCAAAAATGCTCCCAAATCCAAAACTATTTAAGAACCAACATGATGCTCCACACATAAGTGTGTAACACAAACTTTGTTTCATGCAAAAAATTATTTAAAATATTATATAAAATCACTTAGGCTATGGATATAACGTGTATATAAAACAAATAAATTTTTGTTTAAATTTGAGTTTCGTCCTCAATATATCTCATTATAAACAGACATATATTCCAAAATTCAAAAAAATCTAAAATCCAAAGCACAGCTGTTCCCAAATGTTTTAGATTAGGGAGACTCAACATATATAGCCTCTGGATGTCTGAAACAGATAAAAGAAATATTCAAAATAGTCAAGCCAAATCTCTGATTAAACCAAAGAAGAAATGGGTACCTTGATGCATTTTTCTAGTTACCTCGATGCATTTTTCCAGTTACCTCTGCCCCTGCAACTTTGTGCAGACAATAGATTTGATCTGAAGGCTTACCTTTCTCCCTGAGAAATACAAAATTCAAGTCTCGCACCTTCATGTATAAGTAAAGGTCACATCAGAAATTCAGTCCTTTAAAGAAGGAAAACAACTTTTTGGAGACTTCTCTTGAATGTTTGGCCAAAGGCTTAAAGTTCTTTAAAGGCAGAGAGAAATTAAAAGAAAAATGCTATTGGCTTTATAATCAACTAACAAGAACTCTACTCTTGTATTTACTGCTCTTTCTTTGTAGATAAGTCACTTACCCAATTGGAGGATCAATAGCTGAATCTATAAAAAATAAAATAATAAAAGATAGCCCCAAGAAAATCCAGCCTGAAAACTCCCGCTATGGTAGGAAAAGAATAGAAATCCTAAAATTTCTTATACTTGGTAAGGGGTAGTAATCATAACAGCCATTAACATAATTATTATTGCGGTCTTTTCCTGGACATTGTTGCAGGCTCCTTGCTATATTAGTTTTGGCGAAGGTCATAGTTACAACTAGATGACTGTTAACAATCAGATGAATAAATAAATGGTCAAAGTGACTCTGGTTCCGGGGCTGCTCCCTTTAATGTGAAGCCAAATGGAATCATATAAATACTTGAACAGTTGAAAAGAGGGAATCAGGAGGTAATTATATGGTTGTGGAGCTCTCAGGGGACACATACTCTATGAGCGCCACAAAATGCTTTATCTCACATAACTGGAAATCAGGTGATTAAAGTATCTATGGGATCCAGCTCTGCTTGTTGTGGAAGATCATGAGTATATTTATGTTACTTTCAGTTATTCTCGAGTAATGCACAAATTTAAGCCACAGCATGTCCTTCAAGACTGATTTGATATAAATACTAGGTGACAGAGACATACATTTCATCATTAAGTAAGGGATGTGGACCTCAGGGATTTGTGTTTCTTTCAATTCACCTTAAATGTTTGAACTGTTGAGAAGAAATATGAATTCATCAACTGTTTATTTATTGCAAACGGGTTTTGGTCATAGTGATGAGACCTAAGAACATAGACCCATGCAAAATAAACATCATTCTTGTGCCTGTGGTGTTTAAATCTAATGGAGAAGATAGGCAGTAAGCAAATAAACTCTGTAAGAAACATGCACAAATATGCATATATACATGTATAAATACATATATACATATATATCATTATGAGTGGAATAAGCATATAAGTATACATAAAATGAGAGAAAAAAATTTACTTTATATTGACTGGTCAAAATGTTTTCTGTGGAAAATTAAGATTTCAGCCAAGTTTAAAAATGACAAAGAACTAGTATGGGAAAGATTATTCCAAACTAAATGAAAAGTAAGTAGTAAAGGACCCAAGTTTCAAGAAGGTTAACAGAATCCAAAAGAAGCCAGTATGTGTTCTTCATAACTAGACTTCTTCCTAGTCAGCTTCTATTTCAGCATCCTCCCCAAACAAAACCTTGACAAACAAAACAGAAACAGAGTGACACATAAACAAGATGGTAGAATAGGAGATACAATTCTCTTTCCCTCACAGCAAAATCAACCAATAATTATCCATGAATGATAATAGCGTTAGTAAGACTCAAGGGTCCACTTAAAAATCTGTAGCAACATAGTAGAACAAAAAAGCTTGGGGGGGAATAACCACATAGAAAAGACTGTTGGAGATATGTAAATACCTGAGATGTCTGGAGATGTCTAGGAACAAAGAAAATCAGTTTCTAGCATTATCAACCATGTTATTCGTGCCATCATTTTTCCCAGAAACCTGCTGTACAGAGAACACTGCCATTTTTCACTACCTAGACAATCAACAACCATCCCCACAGTGGCACCCCCAGAAAAGGAAACACCGCTGCACCAATGCTCCCAGAAGGAGCCACTGTTTTGCTGCCCCATGGCTGAAGCCACCATTCCTTCCAACTTTGCACATGTCTCAAACACTGGAGTCACTACTGTTATAGGTTAGCCCCACCCCACACCTTAGAGCCCCAGTTGTTGTGTGTATATACATGCTCCATGCACCGACTCCACTATAATATTAAGCATCCTGAGGCCCAGAGCCCAGGGCCACCCACACTCTGGACCTTAGAGCCACTATAGCTCTGCACACGCCTAGACTTTGGCCATCAGCTTCTCAGCTGCTTCACAAGCATCTGTGCCCCACACAGAGTTATCAACACAGCAGTGGGGCATCTATGCCCAAGGCATTGGTGTCATCAATACTTCAGACTTCAAAGTGATTGTGCCTCTGTGCATGTCCATGGTTCAGATCTTGGCTCCATGACTGTTACACAAGCACCAGGCATCTGATATCAGTGTCACCACAACTACAAGTGCACCCACTGGACACTGTGCCAAAAGTGGTTCCCTCAGCCATGATTTCCCTGTTGGAACAAAAAGAGATTGAGAGGATTGCAGTGGCCTTCACCACTGAATACCCCAATAGCTTTTACTGCTGCTATTGATTCCCATATTTTTGGCTTCTAAAAATCCCTGCAGTCTTCACCAATGCCAACCTAAGTTGACAGAGCAGCACAAAGATTATGTCACTGCACCCTTGCCAGAGCCCAAACTACACATCTCTCCCAGTCAGTGCCTTATCACTCTCCCTTAAGGGAAAGCCTTTTCCCAATGAAACCAGTACATAAAGTTGAAAGAGGTGCCTGCTCCACCAAATGTGCAAACATCAATGAAGGACAAAAGAATATATGAAAAACCAAGGAAACATTACCACCAAAACAATATTATCAGCCAGGTGGAGTGGCTCATGCCTGTAATCCCAGCACTTTGGGAGATCAAAGCAGGAGGAATGCTTAGTTCAGGAGTTTAAGACAAGCCTGGGCAACATAGCAAGACCCTGTCTCTACTAAAGATAAAGAAATTAGGCGAGCATAGTGGCACATGCCTGTAGTCCCAGATATCAGGGAGGCTTAGGCAGAAGAATCACTTGAGCCTAGGAGTTCAGGGCTGCAATGAGCCATGATTGTGTCACTGCATTCCAGCCTTGGTGAAAGAGCAAGACCTTGTCTAAAAAATAGTAGTAATAATAATTTCCCAGTAATAAGCCCCAAAGAGTGGGAGATCTTCAAACTGGCTGACAAAGAATTCAAAATAACTGTTTTAAGGAAGCTTAGCAAACTAAAAGAGAACACAGAGAGACAACAAATTGAAACAAGTAAAACAGTAAATGAGTAAAATAAGAAGTTTAACAAAGATTAAAATTTTTAAGACTCCATAAAGCCTGGAGTGTAAGAATACAATGCATGAAATAACAAATGCAATAGAGAAGGTCATCAGCAGAATTGATCAAATAGAAGAAAGAATTTGTAAACTTGAAGGCATATTATTTGAAAATATACAATAGAGAAAAAAAAGAGTAAAAGTCAAAGTGAAAAGGATAAAAAGAAACAAAGAAAGCCTATGGAGATCAGCATGGCAGATGGGAGGCAGGACTGGATTATAGCTCTGGACAGAGCAGCATGTGGAGGCTGCCATTCTGAATTTAAGTTCCAGATTGACTGCTGCAAGAACAAACCAGCAATCTTGAGAGGACTCACAGACCCTCTGAAAAAAGGTGGATTGCTCCAGCAGGACCCGGGAGACACTTCAAATACTTTGAGTGTCCCAATTGCAGAAGTGGGAAAGGGAGACCTTCTGTCCTGAACAGACACCCCTACTGGAGGAATTGAAGGTCTATTTGCTGGAGAAGCTCCAACCTTACCTGGAGCTGAGTCAATTTAGAAAGCTGAGTGAAATACAGGGATAAAGGAAGGAGCAGAAAGGTCCTGGGACCTCTCTAGGTCCCCAAGCAGCCCATTCCTCCTTGGTACTACAGGGATCCATCCATTGGGAGGGTGGCCAGAGGAGCAAGAAGTAAAACTTCACAGGGAGAAGGAACTCTTTCACTGAGCTCTATAACAATCTGAATGGGGCAAGAAGCCTCCTGGCCAGAACTTGGGGAAGGGCTCAAGTCTACTGTGCAGATTCCACAGGCAGGGGAACAACGAAGCCCCTTTCTTTTGCAGATGGGAGACAGGTAGCCTGGGGTGAGTTTTCAAGCCCATCTCCCCCATCACCTAGAAACAGACTCAGAGCTGCAGGGGATGGGGCATGGTGGGAATGAAACTGGTCCTTCAGTTTGTCTAGAAGCTGAGTGAGGCCTGTGACTGCTGGCTTTCTCTGACTTCCCTAACAACCTGCATGACTCAGCAGAGGCAGGCATAATCCTCCTAGGTACACAACTTCAGTAACCTGAAAAATATCACCCCCATTCCCCACAGAAGCCACAGCAAGACCTGCCCAAGGAGAGTCTGAGCTCAGACACACCTAGCCCTGCCCCCATCTGGTGGTCTTTTCCTACCCACCATGGTAGATGAAGACAAAGGGCATATAATCTTGGGAGTTCTAGGGCCCTGCCCACCACCAGTTCCTCTCCATACTACCACAACTGATTCTCTCTGAAAAGTGCCACCTCCTGGCAGAAGGCCAACCATCACAAAAATAGAGCATTAAAATACCAAAGCTAAGAACACTCACAGAGCCCATTGCATCTGCCCCACTCCCCAGCTCCCACCACCTGCCCTGGAACAGGCACTGGTATCCCTGGCTGAGAGACCCATAGATGGGTCATATCACAGGACCCTGTGCAGACCACCCCTAGTAGTAGCCCAGAGCCAGGTAGGCTCACTGGTTGGCTAGACCCCAAAGAGAGACAACAATCACAGCAGTTCAGCTCACAGGAAGCCACATCCATAGGAAAAGGCAGAGAATACTACATCATGGAAACAACCCATGAAGAATCATGAAGAAACACCCCAAAAGAATCTGAACAATAGCCTTCAGCCCTAGACCTTCTCTGAGACAGAGACTGCCCAAATGAGAAGGAACCTGGAAACCACCCCTGGTCATATGATAAAACAAGGCTCTTTAACACCTCCAAAAAATCACGCTAGTTCACCAACAATAGGTTCAAAACAAGAATAAATCCTTAATTACCTGAAATAGAATTCAGGATGTTAGTTATTAAGGTCATCA